TTCATCCATTGTGAAGGTTTATTAATGAATTTCCACTGTGAGGAAAGAAGTGCTTCTTTCATCTTCACAGCTCCTCCTGCACTGCAGGGGAATCCTGAAGAACAGATTTTGAAGACGAGAATGTTGTAGAGGAGCATGCATCAGGCAAAGCATACTCTGACATGACTGACTGCAATTCCATTGACTTCATCAAAATTATTCATATTTTAAAATTCAAGTGTGCTTTGACTAAGCACAGCAGAGAACTCAGTGGTTTCCCAGATTTTCATTACAGTATCCACCGTGGCCTTCCAAACTGTTATTCCTCCTGGAGTGAATGAAGATGTAAAATCCAGCAAGACTTTTGTGAAGTCAAATTTGCCAACTGGACATATAAGATACAGAACTGAAGGAGCAACAACAATCAGAGAGATGTGACAGTCATTTGTAAATAGATGAAAATGGTAAACAGATAAGAAGTGCCTTGTGCCAGCTATTTCAGTTGGCTACTTTCAACCAAAAACTTTGTTCTCTTGGCACAGGGAGCACCTGGTTAGCAATAAAAGAGAGAAGCACTGAATAGCTTGTGCTCCAAAGTGCCAGCCTATGAACATTTAGAAATTAAATGCTTTGGGTGGTTTGATATTCAGTTTATTCCCACTTACGTTTGCATCATTATTTCTTTCTCACTGGCCAAATGGCACACAAGGCAGATACAGCTTGGACAGGCGGCCTACTGAAGTAAACTGTGATACAACTTCTCATGCCACGGCCAGATGTCAAAAGTAGTTTTAGACTGTTAAAAAAATGAAAGGTTATGGCTGCTGTTTTGTGGAATTCTAAAATACTATAACCACATTATTTTGCAAGTTACTTAAAATTTTCTCTTAGTTCAGTGTTTTGTGAAGTGACAGTCGTGTTCCTTAGTGAAAACAGCACATGACAGTAGCACTGAGATTCATGGTGCACTGACAGGAAGGGTTGCTGCAATGTTTCAAGTCTGGAAACTGACAGATGTTGAACATTTCTTACCTCAAGGCCACAGATACCGGCTGTTTGATTTAAAGCATTAGAAGACTATCACCATGGCTAGGACTGAAGTTGCTGCAGAATAAATAGCCACAGTAGTTGAACTCTTCTGATTTCCTATTGTTTTATTTGCCCTTGAGTGCACTGCATTACTTTGAACAGACACACTTCAGGGACTCACAGCAGATTCTCATCCCCTGATTGAAGCATGACTGATCTGACATTTGGTGTTTTGGAAAAAGCTGGTGTAAAGGCCATTATTTTATAATCCCCAGGACAGTACACACTAGCACAGTTTAAAACCAAGAAACGGCAGCGCATAAGGTGTACTCTAACAGACTGGCAACACTTTTTGTTGGAGGCAAAATGGAAATAGTTTTTAACAAATCAGATTATATCATTCACCTCTTGAAGATTTTAGGTTTCTAGAATGATGGAAGACAACTTTCTGATGTAGCTGGGAAGAGATCCTACCAGAGGAGGTGCCCTGCTAGACCTCTGTTTACAAACAGAGAAGAACTGGTGGGAGATGTAGAGGCTGGGAGACATCTTAGACAGAGTGACCATGAAATTTCATGAATAGAACCATGAATAGTTCTCTGTGTTTGGTGAAGTCAGGAGGGGGATCAGCAAGACTGCTACCTTTGACTGCCAGAGAGCACATTTTGAACTGTTCAGGATGCTGGTAGGAGAGTCCCTTGGGATTCAGTCCTGAAGGATAAAATAATCCAGAAATGCTAGTAATTCCTCAAGAAGGAAGTCTTGAAGGCACAGGAGTGGGTTGTTCCCCTGTGCTATAAGATGAGCAGAAGGGGAAGAAAACTGATGTGGATGAACAGACAACTTTTGCTGATACTCCAGGAGAAAAAGAAAGTGTACCTCCAATAGAAGAAGTGACAGGTAATTCAAGGAGAGTATACTCTCTGCAACTACACAAAAAGAGGTTGTGGTGACGTGAGAGTTAGCCTCTTCTCCTGCATAAATACCAATAGGATGAGTGGGAATAGCCTAAATGAAGAAACTTGTGCTAGAAGAGGTTCAGGTTCAATAATATGAGAAACCTCTGAAAGACTGGCAAGGTGGTGGAATAGGTACCAAAAGAGGTGTTGGAGTCACCAACTCTGGAAATGTTCAAGAAATGTTTAGACGTGGTACTAAGGGACATAGTTAAGTGGGGAAATACTGGTGGTATGTAAATGTGGACTAGATGGCCTTAAAGGTGATTTCCAAACTTGGTGATTCTACGATTCTATGATATACAACTTTCATCAGAGCTGTTGTAGAAAAAAACCACCTCTTCATTCTAGTGTAAATATCAGGCAAACAATCACAAAGAATTCATGCCCTGAAAATAAATTCTCCTGTATGTACATTTGTGTTCATACATATACATATATATATAATTTAAATGTAAGTTGTTTAGCTGTTGCTAAAGGAACTGTTTTTCCACATGCCACGTGACTGGATTAATTGAGCTGTCTGTACTGTAAATTTGTGACCTGTACTTCCCTTTCCATGGAAATGACAATGTTTGCAATTTTTCCCAGTCCCTACATGCATAGGGTAAGATGGCTGAAGACATTCCTTCTTCAGGGAATCTAACAATCCAGATATCCCCATAACCAGATTCCTCGAGTATTGAGAACAGGTAGCTTTGGAGGAACTGTAGGCATTTCCAAAGCAAAGATATAAAGAGTAATTGCATTGGAAAGTTTCTTCATTTAGTGGTGATCTCGTGGCTTGAAGTGATTGATTTTTGTGTTCTTTCTAGATATATCTTCCTCTCACCTAGTATGATTGAAACAATGAGCTTTATAGCTTTTTTTCTTTTTCATTTTATTTCGTATACTAAATGAATTCAAAATCAGGTTTCAAGTTCTTTCATGTTCTAAAAAAAGGTAACTACACTGAAAACAGATAATTGGTATTTTTACTCCTTTAAAAATTATGACATTTCAAAAAGGTTATGTTCCAATATTTCATTTTGTAAAAGTGTAATATCATCCCCTCTTGTCCCCTTGTCATGTATGTGACACTATAATTCCTAACACAGTTCCTATGAATCTTGTAATGCCACTTTTCCTGTATTTCCTTGAATTCTAGGACTTTCCACAGATTATTATCAAAGAAATGAAAATTTGCTTTGATTTAAGGTTAAAATAGAGAGTTCTTAAAATTAAGGTGTAGAAAGCTATAATCATGCTGCCACAATTCTACTTATTGGAGCATTCTGGGGAAGACACATTCCCAAGTATTCCCGAAGGAAATTTGTCCCACAGACCTTTAGCATCAGGGCAGCAGGCCGTGTGAACTTGTGTCCTTTCACCTGCCCCACGTATGGGGGACACATAATTGTCCCCATGACAGTCATTCAGTACAATGTAAATTCCAGTTCTGCTCATGCTTTTCCAGCTTTATAGCGCAGTGTTATTGGATCCAAAGCTCCCAGAGCCTTGGGTTTCAAATTTTTGGTCATCCCCAGTACGGCTTTGCTCTGGGATTTTGAACTAAATTTTTGCTTTCTGTTCTGAAATGATCCATGACACAGATCTGAAAATCTTTATCCTAGTGTGCTTGGAGAAAGTCACTCATGTTTCCTATGGGAGAAAAGTCCCTGACAGGCAGAAGCCTTTGGCTGTGACTTCTTTGAAGTCATTTTCTGAAATAGTACATATCCGCAGAATATTTCTGTTTTGACAAATTTACTTTTTCTACTAAACCAGGTGGTTATAAAATTCCCTGCTACCCTAAATTCAATTTACTGAATGTATTATTCATGGCACCCTAAATAGTACCTCTTGAAGCTGACCTGTCCCAGTAATTCCATTCCTCACATAATTGATGTTTTCCCAAGCATTTCTTCCTTTTTGCTTTCTCTCTAAACCCTGTGATACATTCTTTTTTGATGAAGTGATCAGCACAGAACAGTGGTTCAGAGGAAGCTTTCTGATTGATATGATGGAGTTCACTTTCAATATCATTTTCAACATCGTTCCGTTTGCATTCTAACATTCTGTTTGCTCTTTTGATCAATGCTGTGCCTTGAGCAGAGGCTATTATTGATTTTTTTCAGAGAAGCATCCAGGTCCTTTTTCCCCCTGTGGTGGCAGGTAATTTGGAGACCTACTCCCATTAGTAGGTCAGATTATTCTTGCCAATGCCCATCATTATCTCTGTTTTCTGAGCCCTGCAAGGCAGGCAGACAGGCAGTGTTCCTGCAATCAGGCTTCCCCCATAGGATCACAGCTTGATATTTGGTCTGGGACTGTGTGAGCACACTGCAGCCATCAGGGACAGATAATGCCTTCCCCACAGAGCCATGTGTTTCCTCAGCAGCAGTGCGACCCTCTGAGTCTCTAGTAATTACGCTAGAGTCTGGTTCTGAGTCACCAGAGAAGCAGAAAGGAAGCAGAAGAGAGGAGGCCCTTTGTTTCTCAAAGACCTATGCCTCAGAAGCTGAGGTTTTATTGCAGACTGTATAACGTATGAAGAAATTCTCTCTGGTATGCAATTGGTCAGCTGTACAGCTAAGGATGAGACTTGGCAAGGTAACTTCCTTCATTTAAGTTGCTAATTACGTTTCTATAAATACATCTATGAGCTTCACTTAAAACTTCCATTTCTAAAGGCTGACTCTAAACACGAGTACAAAACCCACACACACAAAGGGTGAGGAAAAAAAACCAACATTATAAGATGCAGTAATGGTTTTAAAAGTTTTTTACTATAGAAGGAAAAAGAATAAACTGATATGTCAGGGACCTAAAAGTTCTGACCAAAGGATGATCTTGCATTGGAACAAAGGATTCTGGGAACATAATTGGATGGCTTTGTGACTAGAACCATGGGCCACATGACTGTTTTAAGGAAAGCAGTATTTGCAGCTAGAGCTGTTTGTCTTGTTTTGGTGGGGAGTTGACCTTGGCAGTTATCTTGTTTTGCAGATAGTTGAGCTTGCTTGCAGGCACGTGTTCCACTTGGGCTCTGCATCACATACTGGCCATGCGGACACAGTGTGCAAGTGGAAACACCCCTGCATATCCTGGAGAGAAGTAGGAGGGAATCTGTAGTGGATTTTAGAGGAAAGTGCACTTCGAAGCACAGGACACCCTGCTGACACTACCTACCGAATCCGAAGGTGTGTTCCTTCTACTCAGAGCTTTGTCCATCTCTCAAGGGTTGGTAAGTAATGTTGTGCTTGCTTAAGGGAGCTTCAGGTTTAGCTTACTAGGGTTCATATTGCACTTGTTTAGGGAGTTTCTGCTTGCTGTTTACTAGGATTATCTAAGTGTCTGCCTGTGTGCATGTGTCAAACAAAATGTATAAACATCCATGCTGCCCTAGCATGTAGTTGCTTGCTTCTGCTCCTGAGACATTCTGTCTCTCAGATCCAAATGCATCGTGAAACAAAGGGGTTTAATATTAGAGTGCTCAGAACAGAAAGATTTCTACGTGGATATACAACCTAGATTTAGGATGAGAGGGAATCAGCTTAAGTTGCAGCAGGGGAGGCTCAATGTGGATATTAGAAGAAATTCCTTTCCTAGAAGAGTGGTCAGGCACTGAAATTGGCTGCCCAGGGAGTAACCATCCCTAGAGGTGTTCAAGAAACATTTAGATGTGGCACTGAGGGACATGGTTTAATTGGCATCACTGGTGGTAGGTGGATGGTTGGACTCAGTGATCTAAGAGATCTTTACCAACCTTAATTCTATGGTTCTATTTAACGTATTAATATTTTCTATGGAAGGCAATTGCTGAGAGATCAGTTTAGCCCCTCAGGTTCTGCACTATGGCTGTTTGCTGCTTGTAGAACACACAACATGGATTAAACCAGATTCATTTTTTCCGGCAGATTAAGCAGCTGTCTTCTGTTGAGTTCCCTACTCGATCTGTCTTGCCAGCACTTATTCATAAAAAAAATTGTCAGCTACTAGAGCATTAAAGTGGGACTGACTCTTTTGCATATATTTTTAGCTTGATAGCAACAAAAGCTGTATTTCCTATTTGTCCTTCAGCTACTTCCTGGATGAGTACCATCCAGGAGAGAGCATGCCAGTGTGATTAAAGGCAGTGTCAGAAGCAGTGTTTCCTCCTGAAGGAGAGGCAATGTACGCCCTGCTAAATACTGCTCTGAAAGGGATGCTAACGTACAGCTGAGAGCTACCTATGCATAATCCCCTAATGTTAGTGGTCAACCTACTAAATATTGCTCTTCTGAGACAGTAACACTAAAAACACAGCTAGGCCTCCAGAAGGAGCATCAAATTTCTGGTTTTATTTTTCTTTTCTAAGAAATGATCAATACTGAATATGAGGAGGAATCAAATTAACTTCTCTGTGACTCCTGTGTAAACTTCACTCTTCTGATTAATTTATTAACGGCACCTTAGCAAACACAGGACTTGCAATCAGGGTCGCTGAGATATAGCTTAGCAAATTACCTTGTTAATGAAGCATAAGAAGTAATAGAATTGTACTCAGCCTCTCCACTGTCTGGGATTGCAGGAGGGAAGATATAACATGTGCAATGTTAAAGTACTGCATTTTCTTTCTTTTATCCAGCTAAAGAGAGTTTTAAGTGTAAATCTCCCCTGCAAAGCCACAGTTCTGTTACAGATGGTGTAGGGGAACTGTTATCACAGTCTGAACTGATAATTGAGCACCTGGTGAAGGGGATCGCTGGCCCAGGAAGCACATGTGCAAACAATTTACCTGTGCTTCCCAGCTGATCCTGGGTCCAACCTTCTCTAGGACCATTTAAGAGCTAGCTTCCAGAAAGGGAATGCTTTCTGGATGAAGGCTATTCCCTGAGAAGGAGTGTCTTACAGTTAGAGAGCTTCATCGCTAGCTGAGTAAGTCAAATTTTTTTTAAGTATGATCATTGGTATTGTAAAGCACTTGTCAGAAATAGTTATATTGCTTCATAGGACTAGCAGATGAGTAAGATAGTGTTTTTTGCTATTTAGTTTCTCCCTTCTGAAGGCTTTCATTTCTAAGCAGATGTGCTAAAAGTGCTAAACCTTTTTAGAGGTCGTTGGAGATGATAGCTGTTTTGATTTGGAGAGTTTTCTCTGGACTGTGTATAGTTATTACATAAGGAAGCTCTAGGCAGGATATAATGCTGGGGTAACTTACAGCTGCTCTCCCAGGTACAGGCTGGGGAGGAGCGTAGGGGCATGATGCAGTGTTGTTCACCCTAGCTGAAAGAAGTGAGGTATCAGTATAATCTCCTGCAGACTAGGACCCTAGGGATGGTTGGAGACCTGAAACATCTTCTGTGTGAGCAAAGACTGAGAGACTTGGAACTGTTTGGCCTGGAGAGAACTGAGAGGGATCTCATTAGTACAGTGTTATCACATAACATGCTTCAGGTTCTTGTTCTAATAGAGGCTACTGTGGTCATTCACCCCAGTTCACTATTACTTACTTACCCCATGTATGTCTTGATTGCCTCAAGGTGTTTTTTCAGTCCATTTAAGTTGTTTTTCTTATTAGAAGCAAGTATGAAATATTCCTTCTCTCTTAGCTAAAGTGAGCTATGAATCTAGAGGTTTATGGAGATAAATCAGGAAAATGGAAGTGTGGGAAAGCATAAAAACAATAAATTGATAAATACCTGGGGTATATGGAATTAGTATCAATGGTGAAAGAATTGTAGGAAAATAAGACATGAACTAAAAAAAAACATAGTGTTGAGAAATTGATGTAAACAAGTTACTTTGTGGCCTCAGCCCTTCAACTAGAAGCTTATGGTGGCAACTTATATCCTAGAAGCAGCTTTTATATGTGGGAAAGTGAAAAGGTGGAATGAGAGCAGAAGGAAAAACTCAAGGTTTGTTTTTAAAAAAAAAAATAAAAAATTCTGGAAATGCATCCTCAGACTGGGGTTAGGGGAGAGGAATAAAAAAGTACAATGAAACCTTATAGTTGGCAACCAATTCTTTCTATAGGATTTATAGGAACTTCTTTTTTTCTACTCTTGTTCTACTTCTGTTCTTCAAGTTTCTTGGCAGACAAAACATTATTTTGCACACGATAGAAGTGAAAATGCGAGGCTTGTATGAGATTTCTTTTGGGAGTTGGTTTCTTCCATAAAGAAGATTATAAACTAGAGCAAATTGTAGGATACAGCTGTAAAATAGAACATAAGGTAGCTTTATTTACACTTCTGGGCCTTAAAGTAAACACTGCTATTATCATTACTTCACTTGAGTTATTAAGTAGTGATCAAAGTCTTCCCCCCTCTCCCCCCTCCCACTATACTTAGTAGTCTATACAGAAGCAGAGGAAAAGAGTACTATTGTGCTTTGCTCAACCCTTCATAATAGCTGCTGTCACTGTTGTGTTAGTACTTCTAAAAAAAAACAATGAAACAAATCGTTTTTCCTTTGGCAAAATGAAACTGTTCAACTGCAATCAAGATATTTCTCCTGTGGCTGGCCTGCCTTGGTTTTGCCTGACTTTTTTTTTTTTTTTTTCCTCCTGTGCTTTTGTTATATCTTTTATAAGGTTAAACTCTCTGGCCTTGAATGGTTCTTCCTCCTGGGGTCTCATAGGCAATCTTTATAATTATATTAATTTTGTGTTTAAGCTTTTTTCTCAGCATGAATCACTCATGAGCAGAATGTTATTATTAAACTTCAGAGTCTAAGAAGATTATTAGTTCAGTTTTCATTGCGTAATATACACTGAGGGCAAAAAAAAAAAAGCACTGGGAATTGTTCACTTGTGAATTATGGGGGAAGAAGAAAAATTAAAAATGGCTCTTTGAGCTGCCTTTGTGAAATGCAGATTGATAGAAGTCTAAATCTGTTGGAGTGGAGAAAACAGGCACTAGTTAGTGAAATGGTAATCAAAACAATACAGCTGCTTTTGTACAATACAGACAGATACAGACGAGGATTTAAGTCACATTGCACCTGGTAGGTACTGTCCACCTATTCCTGTGAGACAGGAATTAATTACAACAGAGTGAATTTCTCTTCAGAAAGAAGCCGGTGGAGGAGATGAGATTGCTGATAAATGCTGTTAAATGCATTGTTGCTGGAAGCCTTTTCTACTTTGTTTCTATAAATTATGTTCTACAATAGGGCATGGACTGTGCTTCTCCTCAAGAACCAAAGTCAGCTGCTTGCAGCTATGTCCGAGATTGATTTTTTTTTATTTATTTTTTTTTTCCCCACCATCTGCTTTTCCTTAGTTCTCTATTCTTCTGAAGAGATACATGGTATCTGGCATAGGCTTAGTTTGTGTAGGTTGCTCTGAAAGTTATGCCCTCTCTTTATTTCCATGGAAACTACAACAGCTGCTTAACTACTGCTATGATGGTGTTGTTGCTAGGGAGATGTCATTCAAGCAGTCAGTCTTTCTTTAGTCCAAGCAGATGGAAGTCACAAGGTGCCATATCTGGACTATATAGTGGGTATTTTTTAGGACTGTGGCAGTGTGCTCCATGATCTTCAAAATAGTATGGAGCCTGACATTATCGTGCTGCAAGGGAAAAGTTATCTTCTCTGTTCTGTCTCTTAGTCAGTGTTGTAGTGCATCAGTCAGAGTTGATGGCTTGTCTGGGTTCTGGGAAATCCAGGAGGATCACCCCTTTCCTATCCTAAAAGACAGTGCATGTCCTGTTACCTCCTGAGGACTGTGTGCTGAAATTTTTAATTGGTAGAGAATTCATGTGTTGCCACTCCATGGGCTGCTGTTTTGACTGACTTTTTCCTCTCAGACTGCCCCTTTGCAGCTATCTTTTGCATGGCAACAAAATTTAATTGAATGTTAGCCACGAAATTCCGCCTCTACTTCCATACTGTCACTACCTGTTTCTGGTATAAGTAAATATAATAATATAGCAGACATTACTTTTGGAGCAGTCCCTTTGCAATTAATTGCATTCACTTCCTAGCTAATCAGGGTTGAGTAAGGTGCAACATATCTATTTATTAACACCTTGCAATTTCTTTCTTGAAAGAATACAGATAAATTCTTAGTAGTATAACCTCCCTGCATCTAATGGAACAAGGGCAATAAATGCTTTCACCACTCTTGCAAGGGAAGAAATAAGGTACTGTTGCAGAATTTTGCAGCAAGGTATGTTTTGAGTGAAGAGGATTTTTGGACCAGAGTAAAATGACAGACTCAATTATTGAGGCTAGAATAAATGCCCAGACTTCTGCACT